TTTCCATCTCCTGTAAAGTACTTTTTTTTCTGGAAATACAAGATTTTGTGCCGAGAGCAACGGTATATGTATGCAAACTTAACAGCTCTGTGACAGATAGCCATAAAACTGTCACAATCTCAGGTTAATCTCAGGTTTTTCAATATCTCAGTTCTTGCCAGATGAACCCGAATGTTGTTTTGTTTGCTGAATTGTTTGTGTTTGTGTGTTTCTGGCTAATTCTAGTACTGTTTAGTTGTTTCATCACAGCTGCGACCAAAAAGCTTGCTTAAGATCAACCAAAATTTAGGAATTTACTGGTCTGCTGGTCATATTATTGACATTAATTTCTTCTGTGAACATCACAGTGCATACATTTTGCATGTGAAACTTCCTGTTAAGTTCAACTTTGGTGAACTTTGACTCACATATTTGCAGCACAGACTGTCAGACAGCATTACTGCTTTGGCTGTGTTGGGCTTTGACCAGACAGCACTTTGTGTATTAACAGTACAGAATCCTAGATGAAGGAAATGCGAATTTTTATTGTTATCGTGATAAATTATGTCACAATATGCCCTTTTAGGCATATCGTGGAGTTCATTAGTGCTTAAAGAGACACTATGTTTTATTGCAAAGTGAGCATAATTAGTCCCGTTTCATTGGATTTAATGCCATGTAGTTTGCAAAACAAGTGATTTTGTTATATGTGGCACTAAAGGTTCTGTTGTATTTGTTCCAAATTTCAGAAATCTTTTTATTAAATCTCAGTCGTGATGCATATTGTGTATCGTGAAAATGTCTTGAAGAATCGTGATATAATATTTTTGCTGTATCACCCACCGCTAGTTGGAAGGCTTTATCTTTACTTTGTGTTTTTTCTGTTTATGGTTGGCTTGTTGGCCATCTTTACTTTTTTGCTGCATCTCTAATCTACTGAGTACGGTGTAGACCAGGGGTCGGCAGCATGCGGCTCTTTTACTGCCTTGTGTGGCTCCAATTAGAATTAGATTTGTAGGTAAAAATAAAATAATCCTCCTTTGCAGTAAAATAAGGCTCTGCTGATCGTTCAACACAGTTTAACAATAAATGGTCTTAAATGCCGGAGTAAGTGTATAACGGCTAATTCACCCTTTAGCCTTGAAGACTGGCGCGCAGACTGCTGGTCACCACAGCAGCGACAACAGTCCCGCTTAGCTAGTAGCTAACGAAAAGGCAAAGAGAAAGATTTAAGACGAACATCGCTAAGTTAGAGATGAATGGACTTATTTGCATTTATAATCACTCCAGCTGGTTTCCTGATATGTTTAATCTGCAACGAGAAACTGTCAAAAAGTCACAAAGCTGTAGTCAGTTTCTAATTTACCAGCCTCTTGTTCGAATTTTCCCATTCCACCTTAAGTGGCACAGCAGTTACATTCTGGTGCCTTTTAAGGTGAAATGGGAAAATTTGAACAAGAAGCTGGCAGATTAAAAACTGACTACAGCCTCATAAGCCTCATAAAAAATCAAACGTTGAGGGACATTTTACAAGAAATTATTCTGCGTTTGAGGAAAAGTTTCCTGCTGGAGATGTGAGAGAAGTGATTGTAGCTGAGCAAAAGCTTAAAGCTCAGCAAAGCAAGTCTGTGTTTTTGTTTGTTATTTTCAGCCTGTAGTGGCACATCAGCGCATACTAACACAGATTTACAGCCAAGATGGTAAAATGGACATAAAATGTTGAGGCTTCCAAGGTGGTTTGATATTTGTTGAAAGGACAAAATGGCTCTTCTTAACAGTTGGGTTGCGACCCCTGGTGTAGACGAAGCATTGTAAATTTAACTGTCTATAGCTGGTAGAAGTAATAGCAGTCATACAGTTAATAATGATAATAATAGTCCATCTCTCTCTCTCTCTCACTCTCTCTCTCTCTCTCTCTCACTCTCTCTCTCACTCTCTCACTCTCTCTCTCACTCTCTGTTTTATCCCTCCAAATCAGTGCTAAGTAGTGGCAGCATCAGGAGGAGGAATGTTTGCAGGAAGTTCTCCCCAGCCTCGCGCTCAGACTCAGACGTGTCTCTCTCAGGTTCTTGGCTAATTAGCCTCTCTGCCACATCCTCGGCGTTCTCTCAGGGCCCAGCGACGGTCGCCGGGCACACGCCAGCTTTCGTCTCTCTCAGACTATTAGTCAGCTGGAATTAACACACACACAGACACACAGCTCACACCTCTTATTTTTATTTGTTGGTTCTATATTAATTAGCATACCTCGGAGACTGACAAGTAGCATCTGTCGCAATTCCCTCCCCTCCCTCAGCACTTCTCATCCCTCTCTTTTCTGCTCTTTTCCTTTCTTTCTGTCTCGCTGGAATCTCGCTCTTTTTTTTTCCTCCACGGCTGCACTGGACTCCATCTCTCTAGCTCCCTCTTTGGTAGAGGTGAGGTCTGCACGAGGTGCTTCATATGGATAAGGGCTACAGCTGTTGGCCGTGAGCACATATGTCTGTTCAATTTACTGTTTTACTGCCAAACATTATGATTGTGAAGAGATAAGCAATGAATTAAACACATATAAACGAACTTTAATGTGATATGATTTAGACTGACCTCCATTATTTTGACAAGGATTTCTGTACTGGTGATTTCTGTACTGGTTTGCATATTAGCTTGAGTGACACAAATACTGCACAAGACGAGTGTTAATGATAAATTGCAGTCCTGATAAGAACAAACTGCTCATCTACTAACTGTATGGTCTCCCACAGTACAGTAATGTAGTGTGGCCACTACGTTATTTGTTTTTTTTTTTGTTATTTTGTTAGATTTTTTGTTATTTTTTTTTTTAAGTGAGAAGTTTACACATCCTCGACAGAGAACACACTTCCGCACACTTTAACGACCAATTACTGTTTATTTGCTGAAGATAGCATGTAAGGGAAAAAAAACTTAAATAAAACATAAAATGTGGCCTGTGTAAAAGTTATGGCACATTTTATATTTTAACTTTTATTTTTTTCCAGTATGTCAAACTCAGCAATAAAAAGAAATTGTGCATTAAAATTTGCAGAAAAATGCCATTATTAAGTTTTTTTTTTCCCCACTTAGAAAATCCACGAAACACATAATGCCTATGAATGTATGAGTGTATGAGAGTGTGTGTGTATATGTGTATCGGTATATTTTGGTGAATGCAGGATTCACATGAACATGAAAATCACCAATTTTCACCACGGACATCCAGTGAGAGCAACAGTGGCTGCATGTTCCAAACAATGAATGTTTATATCGTATATGTTATACGTACAGTTAATAAGTGTGAATATATAATGTACACATTCAGTGAGTTAATATATATCACTTATAAAATCAATGAGTGTATATATCATATATAAGTCAATGTGTATCATAAATAGATTCAATGAGAGTATATATTATACGTAGTATATGTAATATATTTGTTCAGTGAATGAATATATCACATATATATGAGAAAAACAGACAATGAGTGTATACATAATATATATCATATATACGATGTATACACTCATTGTCTGTCTTTGTCATATATATGTGATATATTCATACAGTCAATGAGTGAATGTATTATGTATATCATATTCCACCTCTTCCTGTTGGGGCCTTTCACTCAGATACTACTATGTTACATCTTTTATATATATATATATATATGGGAGAAATGTGTGTGTGTGTGTGTGTGTGAGAGAGAGAGAAGTGTGTCAGTATATTTTGCCATGTAGGCGAGATTGTGTGTGTATATATATGTAAGTTATTTGATTTTAGTTGAGCGGGACACACCGTGATCGCTCACAGTCGTATGTGTGAGTGTGTGTGTGTGTGTGAGAGTGTGTGTGGGTGTCATTGTGAATAGCCGTGGCAGGATTATCATACTGAGCTCCTCCTTTCCCTGGCTGTGTGTGATTGCTGGCCCGTGACTGACGAGACGGTTCCCCCACATAGGAGCATGGAGGTGTGTGTGTGAGAGAGAGAGAGAAAGAGGGAGAGAGAAAAACAGGGAGAAAAGGGGGATATCAGGATTAAAGGAAATGTTTCCTGTCTATTGTAGTGGGGCTCCTTAGGGGTGTTTTGGGGAGCGCTTGGACAATGTGTTCGGACACACACACACACACACACACACACACACACAAATCTGCATGACAAATCCCACCGCGCTCCAAACTTAACGAACATGAGACGAAGCTAAACACACTATTGGAATTTTTCAAATTCGTAGCAGATACTGTCGACCCATGTTAAAGCGCAGTATGATATGGACAAAACACCAACATTGTGATGATATTGCTGCGTATTCTGATTGCTTTATATTATAAAATATATATATTAATATATATTAAACTACAGCGTGAGTCAGTAGTGTGACATGGCCTTCATTATCACCACAGTAAATGGGTTTTGTTGGGTTACACGAGCACCTTGATTCTTAAAGACATCCACAGAAAGTCATCTAGAACTTTGATTGGTCAGAAAGATCACAGCACCCAGTATTAAACTTGTAATTGAGGTGGGTGATATGACAAAACATAGCATCACAGTACGTTTTCCATGATAAGAATCACAATATTTCGCTTTTGTTTGGTGCGATAAGTCAGAACAGTGTTTAAAAAGTTACTTATTTTCTTTAATTGAACTTTCACACACTACACAGCATGAAACCCAATTAGCCCAGACTAGTTATGCTCTTTTCTTGATGAAACAGTTTTGTGTTATTTAAGTGCTCACAGTATCCACAGTATACTCAGAAAAGCACATCATGGCATCACTTATCTCAACAACAGCAGTCACATTGCCCACCCCTGCTTCATCACATCAGTACTGCAATGTAATAATGATTAACAGACAGTAAGTTGTACAGAACTGCTGTGATCTCTGATGTTGTTGTTGTGCAGCTGTGTAGTGCTGCAGTCTCTAGAGAATGACAGAAATATCTCTCCATCTCTGTTCAGAGTTTATTGTGATCAGTATTTGTGTCTGTGCTGATCATCTGTTTCTCTTTTGCTGTGTAGGTTGTGTTGAAGATGGAGGAGACCCGCAGAACTGGGCTGTCTCAGATAAAGACAGGGAGGTATGGACGAGGAAATGACCCTTCACTTTCTCCCCACACGCTGATTTGGTTTATCACAGCTGCTTATTAACTGCTTAGGTCTCACTTGAATAAGAAGTAAAGCCAAATGAGATAAGAAAGTAGAATGATGATGATACTACTACTACTACTACTACTACTACTACTACTACTACTAATAATAATAATGATAATGATAATGATATTGAGCTCATTAGCTTCACATTTTGTATGATTTCTTAAATGCTGTTAGTTGCATATATGACTTTGGATAAAGACTTAAAGGACTTTTTAAATTAAAGTATTTGAAAGCAAAATTCATGATGATGCCTTATTGGAGAGGTGAAATTTCTGTTCAGACTGTTTGGTTAGTTTGTTAGGTAGTTGATTTTTATCTGATTATAGTTTATAATAGACCCAAGCTAGAAACTCCCTGCCTTTTTGGTGGGTAGATTTCTGAAGCTGTTTCTGGCTAAATGAGTCTGAAACGTGGCTCTCTTTGCAGTATGAAGTGGTTTCCTGGCCACATGCCTAGTCATTAGCTTAGTGAAGGTTTTTATTGCTTACTACGCTTTAGAAGCTAGCAGTGTGTGCTACACTTTAAAGTGTTTTTTTCTTTTTCATTTTTTATGCTTTTATGATTTTAAAGAGAAAATCTCAAATTCCAATTTCAGTTGAATTTGAATATAATTTGTTACATCTACCAAATTAATTGCATCACTACTTAAGTAGTATTGCTAAACAGTACTAATAACTCATAAGGGTTTTTAAGGGTTAATTCTATCATAGATGTTGTTAGAGACTGTAGTGAACATTATACCATGTAGGTACAGTGAAGATGACAGTCGTATAAGTGTAATGATGCTTAGACCTGCGTATATCGTCGCTGTTGGAAAGTAACCTAATGTCTTTATTTTCGTCTTGCATGATTTAAAGAGAAAATCCAAGTAAATGATGATAATGATAAGAGCCCACTGAGCAGACACTGTAAAGATTAGACGGGTATTTCTGAGTAGTGGAATAGATTTAACTGGCTAGTGAGTAATAAAAAAAGTCTTGATTGTATTCTGTTATAAGTCAGGGGGTGTTTTTGAAGTGTTTAAAATGACTGCATTGCCTATCCTTCCTGTTACACCCACCCATTTCTGGAGCTTATTTACTGTGATAAGGAATAGTGTGATTGATTTCTCTCGTGTGTGTGTGTGTGTGTGTGTGTGTGTGTGTGTGTGTGTGTGTGTGTGTGTAGGCGCAGATTTTTAATAAAGGAGCCGGCCTGAGGCGATTGTCTAACCGATACTATATGGAGAAGACAGTCACCTGCCACAACTGTAAAAAAACTGGCCACCTCTCTAAAAACTGCCCTTCACCCAAGGTACTACATTACCCACAAATCCACACATCTAACCATCAAGTTCTATATTACTTCAGTAACCCTCAGAGCACTGGCACATCTCAAGAATTCACCCTGTGTGTTTGGCCCTTAACCTGACACACAGCACTGTGCAAAAGTCAGAGACCCTTCGTTTATTTAATATCCAGTCCAAACAGCCATCAAGTACAAGATATTCATTTTTCAGGAGATAAGATATAAGATAATCCACTTGCATAAGGAAGAAGAAAGTTTTCAAAACTAGAGCTTAAAAAAAATTAAAGAAGCTGAGAATCCTAACAACCACCTGCAAGACCTGGTAGACCACCAACACTGTCCCCATCAGATAAACAGCACTTAAAGCTTTCATCTTTGAGAGAGAGGAGAAAATCAAGCTCAACTCTTGATTCAGATCTGAAAACATCAACATTTTAGACATTTAGTCATGTAGTTGATGATCTGCTCTTCTCATCAAATATTGCTTTGAAATATCAACCATGTCTAAATTGGTATCGGTGTCATACATTGAAGTTCATTTTTAGTTTTTGCAATGTTCAAATCAAAACACGTTTATTGTCACATCACATTTACACAGGTGCGAAGGTGAGTGAAAATCTTAGGTGCGTAGCCCCCTTGTAGTACTTAACTATACAAAAATATATAAGAAACTATAAAATATAGAAAATGTGTGTGTGTGTGTGTGTGTGTGTATATATATATATATATACACACACACACACATATATATACACACATTAGACTCTAAATATATATGCATATATACATATATACACATATACTCAATATACACATTAGTACACACTAGAGAATTTCACATTTTCATTATTTTACAAAAAAACAGGACTGCAGACTTGAATCTTATCAACACTGAATAGAAATTGAATGTAAATGTAGTTCATTATACAACTACCTAATGAATTGCATTACATTTAAGTAATATTGCTAAACAGCCATAATAACTCTAGACTTTTCAGGGCTAATTCTATTACAGATGCTGTTAGTGTCTCTAGTGAACACCAAATAAGTGCTGATATGTAGGTACAGTGATGACAGTAATATATGCGTAATAATGCATTAGTATATCGCCGCTTCAATCTCTATTTTTGTTGTTTTTTATTTATATATTTATAAGTAAATAAAATTTAAAAATGTCAGCTGCTGTTTACACTGTGTCAAAATTTCCTGATTAGCAGGTCCAAAATGACTTACGTTATACTGTTGTTACATTCATTTACACTAGAAGTGAAGGGTGTTTCTTCCGTCTTCTGTTAAGTTATTTTTGGAGATTCAAGCTTTCAACAAAATGTGAGCAAAAGTTTGGGCACCCATTTTATTCATAGTGGGGAAAAAAAATAATAAAATGTGGCCTGTACAAACGTTAGGGCACATTTTATATTTTGTGTTTTGTTTCCAGGACATTTAACTCAAATTAAAAGAAAAACTTTACAGTTGTATATTTGGTAGTGTAAGTCTAGAATAGACTTACAATGAATAAACATTCAACCAAAATTTTAAATATGCTTAAAAGTCTGATAAGCATTAAATATACATATATCCAGACCTTTATTCATTATTCATTCGTTTATTCATAAAGGATTATTCATTTTTAATGCAAATCTGATTTTTTGTGACTGACTGACTGACTGACTGTCTTTACTCAGTACCCAAAACTCGCTCCAGTAAAAACTAAAGAGCTTAGTCATTTTGGCTTGTAGATATATCAACTCGACAGTGTTGATTATTAATAAAACTGAGAACCCATTCTCATATACATGACTCAAACTGCATTTGCATTTTTTGGTTTGCTTATGCATGACAAAACTAAGATACATTTACCTGTTAAGGTGACTAAGCTATTATCGGTACAGTGACCTCCGCCTTATTTAGGTCCTTAACCTGTTATATAGTACTGCGCAAGTCAGAGAGCAATTATTAATGAATTTATTCACTTTCCTGTCAAAACAACCATTAAGTACAAGTTACTCATTTTTCCGGAGATATAGTTCTGAGGAGGTTAGACATAATATAATTCACTTGCACAAGGAAGGAGAAAGTCAGAGGAAAACAGTGGAAAAATAAGAGTTTCAGAAATTGGAGTTTAAAGAAATATTAAAGATGTTGAGAATCCTAACAACCACCTGTAAGTCCTGGTAGACCACCAACATTTTCACCATCAGATAAACAGCACTTGAAGCTTTCATCTTTGAGAGAGAGGAGAAAATCAAGCTCCACTCTTGATTCAGATCTGGATACCTGTGTGAGAAGACAGCCCAACACTATGAGTCTGAACGGATGTGTAGCTGACAAGAAGCCCCTACTGAGAAAAGAACACAGACAAAACAAAAATGTAAATCAAAACAAAGCAAAGAAGCTGCTGGTGTTCTCACTGAGTTCAGACCTCAGTATCACTGACTGTGTTTACTCGGATTGTGAGACGCAGAAAATGCAACCAACTTCTAAGACTGAACTTTGGAGGTGGAAGAATGTCCCTGCAGATTTCTTTGAAAAGCTGAAAGTGAGTCTCCTGAAAAGAAGCTGTAATAAGCTGTAGAAGCTGTAATAAATGTGAAGGCTGGACACAATAAATACTGAAAAAATTATATTTTGTTACTGAGGCTTCTGTATGATTTTCTGCAAAGTATGTTTCCTGCTTTTTTCCCTGATGCTGAAGAATTAGTCATAATGTCTGTTTTGAGTGGAATGAATGAGCAGATGTGTCTGACTGTGACACAGTGCTGTGTATCCTAATTCACTGTGTTATGAATGTGTTTCTCTCCTGCAGAAGCTGCTGTGTTGTTCGTTATGTGGCACTCCGGGTCACTTTGTGAAAGTCTGCCCCAACCGTCACTGCTCTAACTGCTCCCTGCCCGGCCATACGTTCGACGACTGTTTGGAGAAAGCCTACTGGCACAAGCGCTGTCACCGCTGCGGCATGATCGGACACTTCCTTGACGTGAGTAACAGCAGTACACGTGTTAGAGAGTGTGGAGGAAGAAAGGAAGACAGGCCCATCACAGTGTGTGTTTGTGTTTGGTTCAGAGTTGCTCGCAAAATGTTGTAGCGAGAGGTTGTTTGTGTGTGTTTGTGCGCGTGTCCTTCCCCTGGGTCGCCCCTGCTCTCATTAAGACAGACGCTTCACAGGCCGTGAGTGTGACACACTGCATGTCACCCCCAGACAACAACCCCTCAGAGAGAGAGGGACTTTAGAATGGGGGGGTTTGTGAGACACTGGCTGGAAGAAGAGAGATGAGTTAGATTAGAGAAGGAAAAAGCAGGGAGCTGTTCTTTGTAAGTGTAGTGCAGTCAGACTGAAACTACATGTCTGAATCAGAATCTTTATTCACCAGCTGCAGATGTAAAAGGCCATTTTCTTGGCATTTACTTGGAAAATACCAAATATACAGTAGACAGTGCTGAGCGAGCACAGTGTATTGGCGGCCAATTGCTGTTTGCCTTAGAGTACGATTTTTTTTGCTTTTTTGTTAAAATAATCAATTGCAAATATTCACACTCGATTGAACAGTTAATCACAGTTAATCGCTTTTGTCTTGTTTGCTCATATTTTACCCTAAAAAGAGTTTTTTTCTTTTAAAATAGTAGTGAATTTTTATTCTATTTCTTTGTACCTAAATGAGTGTGTAAAACACAAAGCACTGCTTTTTAAAATGTAAGAAATCTGTCTTCAGGGTAGTGACTGAACATTCATTTTATATGGATATCACAAATTAAAAGAGTGCAGTTTTCAAATTGCAAGAGCTACACTATGATTATACTATAATTTATAGTAGTTACTAAATAATTCATAGTAGATACTAAATAATTCATAGTAGATACTGAATAATTCATAGTAGTAACTGGATAAATCATCTTAAGATTAATAACTAAATAATAAGCCATTTTTAAGAGGTTAACACATGAAAAAAATAAAAAAAGATGATGACCTTAAATTTAAGCTTATGTTGTTTGTTTTATTTGAAATACTGAGTTTCATTTAAACAGTTAACTAGTTCATAGTAGTTGCTGAATAATAGTCCGGAGTTTAAGGGGTTTTATCTGAGTTATATTTCCAACTGCATCACATTTGTTGTAGCTGGTTTTTGTGCATTAACAGCAAAAAAGTTGCTCTACTGACTTTGCACAGTGTGTTTGACTCTCTCTCTCTCTCTCTCTCTCTCTCTCTCTCTCTCTCTCCCTCTCTCTCTCCCCTCTCCTCTCTCTCTCTCTCTCTCTCTCTCTCTCTCTCTCTCTCTCTCTCTCTCTCCCTCTCTCTCTCTCTCTCTCTCTACACAGGCCTGTCCAGATATTTGGAGACAGTATCACATCACAGTAAGATACATGCAGTCTTCTCTCTCTTCCTGTATGATGGGGGCCTGTTGTGTGTACAGGGGGTGATTTTCCCATTTGCTTATACCCACAATTTCTGTGCTGTGTGTGTGTGTGTGTGTGTGTGTGTGCGTGTGTGTGTGTGTGTGTGTGTGCGTGCGTGCGCGTCTGTTTCTATCCGTTGTATGTCAGCCTTTGCAAAGTGATGGTCATCTGAGTTGCCACGGTAACAACCTCTGATGGTGGTACAAGCTCCTGTACTGCTGGTTTTAAATGACTTTCTTGAATTGATATATGTTGCAAATCATAGCAAGACAAAATTCCCCACATGTGAACTTTTTAACATGTTGGGTGATGAGATCCTACATGAATGCCACTTTGGTGTATCTTACATAGCTGAGATTGTTCTGTAATTTCGGCTGTTGAGCTGCACTTGTTGAACGCGCTCGGTGCTGCAGACAGGTATCATGCGTGTAACACGCCTGATATGGTGTAGATTTTAGAGCATCCTCAGACCCCAGCATCAGGTTTCACACATCACACAGAACAGCTTCAGCTCTCAGGATAAACAAACAAGTAAGGTCATGTCTCAGTAGTTCACAAGTCATGATGTTTCTCTAACAGAATTTGTAAAGTATGAAGTTTTTATGTCAGAATTTGCAATATGTAAACCTTTTTACATTAGAATTTGTAATATGTTAAATATTCAACATTAGAATTTGTAATATTTTTTGCTTTCATATTACAATTTTAATGCGTAAAGTTTCTACATTAGAATTTGTAATACGTAAAGTTTCTATGTCAGAATTTGTAATACGTAAAGTTTCTGCCTCAGAATTTGTAATACAAAAAGTTTCTACATTAGAATTTGTAATACGTAAAGTTTCTGCCTCAGAATTTGTAATATATGAAGTTTCTACATCAGAGTATGTAATACGTAAAGTTGCTACATTAGAGTATGTAATACGTAAAGTTTCTACTTCAGAATTTGTAATACGTAAAGTTTCTAAATTAAAAATTGTAATATGTAACATTTCAACATCAGAATATGTAATACGCAGTTTTTTACAACAGAATTTGTTATATGTAAAGTTTCTACATTAGAATTTGTAGAAAAGAGAGAAAGAGAATGAAAGGAAAATAACAAAATAACATGAAAGATGAAGGAATCCTTAATGAGCCAGAATAAGGAAAGTAGGTGAAGCATATTTTTGTATAAACAGTACAAAAAGACTTCATTAGTCTTATTTATTATTAGGGATTGTGTACAGTGGAGTAAAGACTACCTGTGTCCCAGCGGGTTTGCCTTTGTGTGATAGTGTGTAAATACCTCTGCCTCTGACTCTCAGCGCTGTGTGTGTGTGTGTGTGAGTGTGAGGAAGATTAGCTTTTCAGAGCTCCACAAAGACACACTTTAATAAATAACCACCCCTGCTGCTTACAACAAATGCCACCTTTCTCTCGCGCGCTCTCTGCCATTTGTGTAATGATATAATTACATAGACAGTTACATATTGTTTCTATAATGTATTTTCACATCACAATTTCTAATATATAAAGTTTTTTGCATCAGAATTTGAAATGTATAAAGTATCTACATCTGAATGTGGAACATCTAAAAGTTTCCACTTCAAAATTTGTAACGCTACATCAGAATTTGTTTTGGGTAAAAAACTACATCAAAATTTGTAAGGCATAAAGTATTTATATCAGAATTTCTCACATATACAAATTGTACATGAGAATTTGTAGTGCATAAAGTTTTTTTCAGAATTTGTAATAGTTTCGATATCAGAATTTGTAAAGCATAAAGTTAGTTTCCATCAGAATGGGTAATAGTTTCTATACAAGAATTCGTAATATGTAAAGTTTCTGCATCAGAATTAATGAAGCATAACGTTTTAACATCAGAGTTTGTAATATGTAAAGTTTCTGCTTCAGAATTTGTTGTATGTTAAGTGTCTATGTTACAGTTAATTGTAATAATTCCAAAAAACTGTAATGTAGTGTTTATATATCAGAATTTTCTCTGGGGTGGAAATTTTTTTAGAAACATTGACTTAAAAATTAACATGGTTTCTGAAGCAAGAATGATTTTTTTTTTTAAACTGTATGCAAGTGTGTGTGTGTGTGTGTGTGTGTGTGTGTGTGTGTGTGTGTGTTGCTCAGGAACAGGCTGAAAGTAGGTAATTGGCGAATTCAGAAAGCATTCGCTCCCCAAAGATTCATGGGGCTGAGAAGGCATGTGACAGTCACACACACAGCCAAACGTCAAGGGGCACGCTGGAACATCTGCACCAACACACACACGTGCATGCGTACACACACACACACAGTAGTGGAATATAGACCTCAGTTTAAGAGAAAAGAGCAGGTTGTTTGTCAATTAAAAGACGTGATAAAGCATGAAATGGGCTGCCAGGATCGCGCTGCGCCGAGCAGTCACTCGACCTGTCACACACACACACACAGTCTAATTAGTTAGCCTGTCTAATGAAAAGGCCCTACTGTTAGCGCTCGCCTCACACACACAGACCCAGAGCAAATGAGTCAGATTAAGTAGATACATTTTAAGGAACTGATTGAAATGATCCAGGTGCATCGATTGGTGAGGGACATACGTTTTTTGCTTTTGTAATTCAGATTTCTTACATTTTCCACGAACCAACACACACATGAGCACACACACACACACGCATACACTCTAAGGGTGGGTGATGTGGCAAAAATACAGCGCTGTGCCAAAGTTTTAGGCACTTAAACAGTTTGTTGAAAACAATTAATCTTACATTAAGTTCTTAATAAATGTATTTTTGCCAGTAAAAAATCAAAATTACATTAGAATAAATGAACATAAATACACTAAAAATGATCAAGAATGTCTTTTCAACAGTGTAGTTGATCAGTGGACACAGAAGCCTAGATGTTTCGTTTCAGATTTCTTTTTGCATTTATTTGGTTTTCTAAGCAAATAAACACCTAATGCCCAATTAAGTATATTTAAATATAATTTTCTCACGTCCCTCAAACTTTTGCACAGAACCTAATGATGTTCAACATTTTTTAACAACACCGTGTTTTATTTGTGTGAGGTATTCAATGTGCTGAAATGTGCAAATTGAACTTTCTTGATTCAGATCTGTTCATCATTCCACGTGAATGAAATGTTTTACATCCACTCCGTTACTTCTGGTTTACTGTGTTTTGGCTGTGTGTCGATGTGCTATATTTTATTTATGTAGTAACAGAGTACAGATGTGCACAATAGAATCAGATGAATGCAATGTGGAAAAGACCGAATACTCCACACCTTCAAAAGTTCAGTATTTCACAATAAAAAATTAAAACATGAAAAATTCAAACTATTGGTAAAAATATTGCTGAGCTCCATATTTTCAAAGAAGTAACTTAACAGGAGAAGCGAAAACCATTTTTAATATTCAGTGTAAATTAAAGTATCTAGATTTTCTTTTTTTTGGACCGTTTCTTTTCGTTCATTTAGGTACATGTTGTAAACGTCAGCATGTATTTTAAAATTTTGTTGAATAAGTAAATAAATAAATACCGAAATAATGGTGATCCAATGACAATATTCCAACAGCGACTGTATGTAATGAAATAAGATGATGTCATGTGGGGCAGACATCCAATCAGATACTTACTGTGTGCTTTATAGTTGCTGTACGCTGCTTCTTGTTGTCTCGGGCTCAAATAACTGATCTAAATCTGTGTTTGATTATGATACATGCAGCTCTAGAAGTGCTGACGATACTCAGAAAAGCATACCAATGCTGTTTATCACTTCAGCGATAATATGATATTATATTGCCCACCCCTACCACTCATCGCCCTTGCCCTGGGTGTAATGATATATAATGGGTTTGAGTGGTTTTGTAATGGAGTGTAATAGTTGATGATAGTTTCATATGGACTTGTTTGGTTCTGCTGGGTTTTGCCCATCTGCTGTGGTGCTACTGTTTATCCTTCGGGTCCTGCCCTGCAGACTGCATGCGTACGTGTGTGTGTGTGGGTGGGTGGGGTGTTTGTGTGTGTGTGTGTGTGTGTGTAAACGTAGTTAAAGCAGACTTACCCTCAACAGACGGTGTTTAAGGCCTTTAAACTGTCTGAGACTTGAGGGCTCAAAGTTAAATACAGTGCAGGTACGTGTGAGTGTGTGTGAGTGTGTGTGAGTGTGTGTGAGTGTGTGTGAGTGTGTGTGTGCTGCTTTGGGGAGCTGTGGCCTGTCGCCCTGTGCTAGGCCCAGTCAGGTGTGAAAAGGCATTCTGTCAGACCAGTCCTTGCTACTGGGTCTATTTATCCTGTGTGTGCGTGGCCCGCACCTGTCTTCACTAACAAACAACCTCCCAACTCCTCCGACTCCGCCACAAGACCCAAGAGAGAGCGAGAGAAAAGGAGGGAAAGTGAGAGAACGAGAGCTGCTGGGTACGAGCGAATCGTTTCCAAACTAAACGTGTTAAATCACAGAGTAAAAGCTGATACAGGGTCTTATTTCAGGATCTTTGTTAGATGCTGGTTTGCACCTGAAGTCAAAATTGACACAGTTGCCCCCCTTTAATCTGCCGAGACGTGGTTAGTGTAGCGCTTCGGTAGTTTTGCACTGGAGCTACCAGGCAAATGTGGCTAACAAGCAGTGGAAGCTTCTAACCACCATTTACCATCACATTTGTTTTAAACTCAACTGGACCTGCTTATGTGGTTTCTGACACTGTCTATAAAAACAGTTAATAGCGAAAGACGGCGAATAGCATCTGAGTTTTGTCTGAAAGATTATTCAAAAGATTATTTTTTCGCTACATTTGTATTTAAATAAATAAATAAATGAAGATAAAGATTACTGGTTTGTCAAAATATTTGAAATAAAAAGTCACTTCTTTTAAAATATGCTGTTTTGGTGAGATAGTATCACCATATTATATTTTTATTAATATTATTAAGGAGACATTTTAATTACAGTATTTTTTTTTTATATTTTAATTTTAAAC